GTTCCATGGGAGACGGATGGACAATCTCCTCCCGTGCAATTTAATGCCTCTGAAAACCCTCTGAAGGGTCATTTATGAGTCAGCTCTGACTTGTTGGCACACAATATCTACAACAAACTGTAAGGGAATACATTTATGTTTGCTAAAACCATCTGCTCGTGGTATCTGTGACAGCAGTGCCAAATAGCTAAGCCAGTGCTTGTCACACATCGCCTCTCCCACCCCCACCTGCTGGGCCTCTCTGTGAAGGGAAGTGAACTTTTACCCTGCTGAAAGCTCTACCATTTTGGTACCAGCATCCAGCAGCCTCTATTGTTCCACAAAAACAGACTTAAAAGGTAACATCCAGAGGAAATGCATTCCATGGAACTACCAACCACGCTAGACCCCAAGGGCAGCATTTGCCCATGGCAATGCTCAGAGACTCCTGTGAACACCAAGAGAACAGATTTGTCCTGGAGAGGGGGAACTCAAGCTGCTCTCTGGAGGCAAGGATTTTGGGACTCTGTCTCACATATTTTGGGCTTGTGGCCAGGAAGGACTGGTCTTTGGAGAAGGACATTATGCTTGGAAGGGTGGGGGGATAGCACAGGAAAGGAAGACCCTGGATGAGATGGATTGACACAGTGACTGGGGTAATGGGGGCTGGAGTGTTGGAGGCAGGGTTCAGAGCTATTAAACATAGGGTTAGTATGAGTCGCAGTCCACTCAGTGGCACATAACAACAACATAGTCCAGAAGAAGAGATGGGAGGGAAGGATGAACAGAAACAGGACACCCAGGGCAGAGTGGGCAGAGTGCTGTCCCATTGTGAGGATTGCTGTCAATGTCCTAAATGAAAATGTGTGTGAAGTTTTGAGTGGAAAACCAATTTGCTGTGAAAACTCTCACTCAAATCACAGCAAAAAGTTAAAGACAAAATAAAAATGGCATCTAGGTTCACCATGCTGCCCATAGAATGTTGGAGTGGGCGAGGGCTCCTTTTGACATGCTCAGCAAAGGTAATGAGGCCCATGCTTTCTGATGAATAATACTGCATTTAAACATCCCATGATGCAGGTGGGCAGACATGCATTCCCTCCTGACTCCCAAGTGAGCCAGCCACTCCACAGTCTCCAGTACCTGGGGTCTCAGGCCCTGCAGGACCTGTGAGAGGTGAGGCCAGCTCCCAGCCAGCTGGCACAATGTGTTGCGGGCAGTAGCCCTGGGGACCAGTGACTCTCTGGACACCCCCTCAAGAAGCTTCACAGCAGGCACCTCATTCAGACCCCGCCCAGCGCTGTCCCTGGCATCCTCCAGGGTGGCCACTCTGCCGCTCATTTGCCTGGGGCACCACATTGCAGCTTCCTCACTGCTGCACCCTTGGTTGTTGACTGTGGAGCCACGTAGAACAAAATTTATCATCTTAATTTTCCCTGTTTATTATAATGTTCCTGTGTTCCAGCTGTGAGGATTTATTTTCCTTTGTTGAATGTAATCCACAGTGAAGGCTATGCATAATCTTGACCTTTATCAGGAAGTGCTTCAAATCTTCCTCTTTTTTAGAAGCAAGGCTGTCATCTGCACACCGCAGTTTGTTAACCAGTCTTCTTTCAGTCCTGCTGCCCTGTTCTTCCTAGAGCCCAGGTCCGCCTCCCCAGAAAGCCTATTGCAGTTAAGAAACCAAACAACTGAGAAAGATGGATTCAGTAATGCATACTGCATTGAAACAGACGAGGGAGAAAACTGTTGAAGAGGGCTATGTTATTATGTATTATTGTCACGACAGGGGCCCAGAGCAAAGGCTGTATAGTGAGCGGAGTGGACCTGGGGCCGGGGGGGATTGTAAAACAATGAAAGAATTTTTCTTTTACTTTTCCAAGAGTGTAGTGTACTAGGGGGAAGGGTTGGGAGGGGAGAAAAGTGCAACAATGAATGAATGGAAATCCAAAGTCTCTGTAAATTTTCATTGAAATTAATAATAAATTTTAAAAAAAAAAGGAAGAAGAAAAAGAGACCAAACAATGTTTTACTGCATCGGGCAGAGGCTGCAAAAGACCTACTGGACTAAGGTGTACCTGAGCCAAGCCAAGCTATGTGAGCCTCATTTGAAAGCTGGGCAATGAATAGAAGACATCAAGCAAAAAGAGACACATTTAAATTCCGACATTGGTAAAGATGACTGAAAACCCATGCCGGGGCTGACCAAAGCACAAAGCTGTCTCGGAGGAAGCATGCCAGCGTGCTTTTTAAAACTGAGAAGTGAGATTTCCTTTCAAGTATTTCAGTCATGTTTGGAAAGGGTCAGCCCTGGTGAAGTACATCATGCTTGGCTAAGTACCGGGTCCATGAAGAAGACCCTCGGCAAGATGGAGACTGAGGGCCCATCAACAATGAGCTCCAAGTTCCAACCTCTGCGAGGATTGGCAGGGCTGTGTGGTACATGGGGCGGTCATCGGGGAATTAGACCCGAATGGAAGGGCCCATAACCACCGCCACCGAGTCCTGAGACAAGCCAGGCAGCATCGTTGCTCCTCTCCTGCTGGCATGTTTAGGCCGCAGAACAAAGCACGCCCTCACTGAGGCCCAGTGTTTGGGAACAAAGGGCAACAGACAACTCAGAGCTGACCACTTCCCCTCCTTGGGATGTCCAGGAAGGAAGCAACAGGATGTTTGTTAGCTGGGGGCTGTTGTTGTTAGGTGCCCTTGACTACAACTCCTAGTGACTCTATGGACAACAGATCAGAGCCTCATCCGGGGCCATCCTCACGACCTCTGCCACGCTCCCACTGTTACTGTCCTCACCCGGGGCCATCCTCACGACCTCTGCCATGCTCCCACTGTTACTGTCCTCACCCGGGGCCATCCTCACGACCTCTGCCACGCTCCCA